GTTATCTGCACTGTATTGCATACTTTGAATGAGACTGTCGCGCTACGCTAAAACCGCTAGAGGAGGTATGACCATTTTCGTCAACCCCTCAGGTTGAACCACCCTATCTTGTGTAGGATGTCTTTCGAGCACAAATCTTAAAAGCTACACTTGCAATGGAATTTTCAAGTTTATCTACTTGCATCTTCTGACCGCAACTGATCGTGTGGAAAGGATTCCGTTGAGACGGAGTTCAACTTCAAATGCTTTCTCTCGTAATCGTCTAACTTTTTGCAGATTTTATCAATGAGCAGAAATCACAGAAATTAATAGTTTTTTGGATTGTGCATGCTCATTTTCCAACCCCTATCAAATGTCAGCCGAAGTGCATATTCTGCAATTGAAATCATCATTCGAGCATTCAAGGGAATCACCAAAATGACACTTTTGCGTCAGACTTGAAAGAGGGTGCGGGTAGCATTGCAATGCCCCTTTCGCTGGTGATCCATAGATTTACATACGTGGTGAGAAGGAAAGGGATGAGTCAGTAACCTTAAATCTATTGATATGATCTTGTGTGCATCATTCCCATCGCGGCCTACGTGTGAGCAACTGACAGAACACACACAATATGATGATCGGGACAAGAATGTCATCACAATGGGTCTAGCTTCGACTCATGCTTTGTGTACAGTATTTCACTCGAGTTCTACCTGTATGTATGCTGACCCAGCATTGCTGGGTCGATAATAAAATTAAATGAAATAGAGAACTGGGTCGAATTTCAGCAAATATTGAATCGGGAGTCATTCGAAATATAGAGGAGCTCTGACACTCACAAAAGTCCATGCTATGGACATTAGGGAAGGTGTCATCCCAAAACATACCTCAGTTTAATAACTCCATTTTGTTAACGGATTCCGTCGCTGTTGAGAAGTTAGCGTCAAGCTTTCCGGCGAGCTCGATGGGTGGACCGTGTAGCGTGAGAATGCGTCATGTATGGCACTCACTTTAGTAATCCTGATTCTCAGTATGATTAGCTTCTCGGGCGCCTCATGTCCTGCTGCAGAATTTTTACAAGTAACCGGCATTGCCTTCACTGTTACTGGAGACTAGTTCCATGCGCGCGAATCGCACGACGCGATATGTCCTTCTGCAGAAATTTGTTCAAGTAATTCTGGGCATTACGTTCGCTGTTACTAGAGACCAGTTCCGTGCGCGTGAATCGCGCAGCGCGATGAATGAGCTACTCATAGCAGTCGTCGGTCCCTCTTTGGCGAACAATTTAGGTGCGAGACCAAGTAGACTGAGTGTGTGCTATCATGTGCGAAACGAACTTGTCCAAGCCACTCAACGAAACTGGTGACTGCTACTCCGTCATCCTGACGACGACATTGAACATGGCCTCGCTCTAAAATTTGGGTGACAAAAATGTCAGTAGGTGACATAAGATGTCTTATGTACGCATTACAACTTCAGTAGGATTATTCGAGGACCACACGACGACGATCATGACAGCGACATCACCATATCCTCCTGTTGAGAATTCTCAGAACAGTAGTAACAGTTCCGACTGTTCCGGCGAGTACCTAGTCAGTACGTAGAGACAAAAGTAGTCATGCATTTCATCTGTTGCACCACCAACAAAATACTGTCGCGGACTATGATTGGACAGAAGCAATTCCTGTCACGATTAGCCATGATCGATCACATCCTCTTGCTCGAGTATTTCCGTCAACAGATCATACGATTTCTTGAACGAGCTATCGGGATTCACAAAATACTGGAAATAAATGTTCTCCAATCGACCCAGTATATTCCATGACATTAATAAGCTCAACAAATTTAGTTTCAGTCTAGACTACTTTAGTCAGACCCCATTAGATTCTTGAAACATCGGGTCTTTATTTGGGCAGTACTGAGCTCAAGGTTGGACGAATGAATTTAGACTCGAACTATTAGAGCGAGACGGGGAATGTCGAGCTAGTACACAAACTAGTTAACACGTGCTACACTGCCAGTGTTACACTGGGATCAGACTCTAACACGATCGCAACTGACTTGTCACGGAGCTCACGGGCTTCCCCGAGTTCTCACGGATGCCGATCATCCTAGCAATACCTTGAGGTAGTACCCCTGATGTACTACATCAGTGCTGATGGATCATCGCTTGCACTCGAATCTCATATCCGCACATCAAGCATCAGCATCGGTAGTTCTGACTCGACGCAATGTCGAAAAGCTGGCAGTAATTGGCAGCTGTTGTGGGAACGGGGATGGTGGTAGTTCAAGCCTTGAACTTCAAGGTTCGATTACTCGTACTGAAAGGGCATTCACACAGCAAGCTCTTTCTGCTCAGGATCTTCAGGTCAGTATGAGGTCTTCACCCAGTAGCCAATCCGGCTAGCTGTGTTACCATAGTCTTTGGGAAGACCTCTGTTCCTGTAAAATAGAACGGTGAATATGTGTGTGTGAAGTGGTTGCTGCCGTCACGCCTTTGGCGGCACCTAACGGTATATTTTTCTACTCGCAGGAAGATACAACCTGGACTGTCAGGTTCAGCTTCCCTGGACTGTCCGAGAGAGCTGAGGATACTGTCGAGTGTTCTATAACACCACTTTCAAGTCCAGGGAAATGAGGATGAAAGACGATCTCCGCTTAATGACATGCCGAATCGTTAAAACCTTGATTCTCCTGTGTCGAGCAGCAGGCGTGGTAGTTGCCAACACGGTGTTGCTGCTCCGAATGGGTGTAAGCAACATCCATTCGCAGCAGAGCCTCCCTCAATATACGGCTCCGGGTAAGGAAGAATGCAGAACCCCTTCCCTCAGAAGCTCCTCGGAGCCAATGCATGAACAAAACAGTTGTCTATGGATAGAATCAGTAGTAGCATTATTTAATAATCTGTAATTTACAGCAAGGACATGGGGGACTTGCCCTTCCGTTAGTCCTTGACAGGTAGGTCCCAGCACGTAAAAGGCCAAAGATCGCCTGAAGGCCATTCCTGTGCATCCGATAGGAATTATATCTCTACTTCGAGTAGAGAGGGGCTTCAGCTGAAGAGGCGAGGAAAGACGTTAGAGCTTGTAGATGGCTCAGTTCGGTGCAGAGCCTTGGTAAGCAGATATGACAGTCGGGGAGCCTCACTCATGATGTCGACAAAGGCATTAGGACTCCTAATTTAGGAGTGGATGGTGGGAGCCGGTAAGCGAGCTTGATAATTCTTCTGAAGGCCAAGTCGATGAGATCGCACGTGTTTTTATTGACCAGCGAGATACCACAGGCTTCCAAGCCGGAACTCAAAGTGGGTATCCATACCGCCTCGACCAGGTAAGCAACTCTACCAGGAGACCCCAAAAGTCTTTTTAGCAAAGCGCATGGCCTTCACGGTCAAGTTGTGGCACTTGGCTAGTCTCGCTTTGAGATGGTCGATGAAGTTGAGCTTGAGGGTAGTAGTAATACCAAGGATATTCATGTATCTTCGAACATAGTACACGGAGCTACAGTTAGTGAGTATTTTAGTCTTTAGCAGATCCCCAAAGATGGCTATAACCGTTGGTGTCTCCACCAATGACGAAGTCGCCGCCAGAGCTGAGTAAAGTAGAGATAGGATAGAGGTGACTCACGTCCGGTAAGGACACCGGGTTATCGAATGAGATAATAGTCAGTTTGTCAGATGTAGTGACGTGAAGATTGCTAATAGATACATGAGAATTAAGAGCGAAATAAGTAGCAAAGTCAGTTGACATAATGACACACGTATTGGGATTGGGAGTATCAGTGAAGACGCGTAACCCGTCGAGATAAAAACTTCTCGGAGGTTTCTTGGCAGAGAAAGACGTCGAAATCATGATTATCACAGAGCTCATACAGCAATGTGGGGTATTTGCCCGTGTTAATTCACGGAAAGTTAAGTGTAGTGGTGGCAGTGGGTGGAGCAGTGATAGTGGCGGGAGAAAATATGATCATAACAATTCGGCGAAGGGGCCGTTATATGGATGGCTATCCACTAGACGCTCCGTGCGGAGATACTTCTCGCGCTTCAAGCTGAGCTTGACCTTGCACGGAGGGCCCTTATGGAAATTATGTCCGACTTGTTTGCGCAGACTACAACGTTTCAGGTCAAGTCTCGATCGTCGAGAGGCCGGTCCTTGTAAAGGGCCACCGCATGTGAGACAGGCCCGCTTCTCCCTGCAAGGGAAGTTCTGGTTGTGACATGAGCCGCAGCTGCAGCAAGCTCGAATGCCGATCACATCCTTACAGCGAGGTCGTAGGGAGTCTATGACGATGAAACCATCTCGTTGTGACATTCTCGCAGATGTGAGCAATATCACAGACTGGTATGCGAGGTGAGATGGCCTTCGTGTTATATCTGATAACCTTCCAGTCATCGATGTCGGCGCTAGGCATGTAGACTGGGACCGCCTGGGGAGCCTCTACGAAGTAATGCCTGTGGTACCCGATAGGGAGACTAAGATATCCGGCCGGAGTTTGGGAGCGAGCATAGCCTGACCTGAATCGTCAATAGTTTTGTTTATAGTATTGATAATATTGTCCGTGTCGGTGTTCAATCTAGAATGAGATGAGTCCAGGTGTCGTTTGAGACTCCACAGAATCTGCATGAATCTGTATGACGGCGACCAAACTTGAAGAAGTGGGAACGACACCTAGTGCCACTGACAGCCCAGAAGATCAGGTTGCACTCAAAACCAGAAAAACGAGTTCAAGTCGTGATGTGAGACATCGAGAACACGAAATGCGGCAGTTCAACTGTCGAGTCCTAGACGAGAGCCTCAAGAGCGCAGACTTGAAACACAGCTTCAGTCTCTGAGAAATGAAGTCATCTATCATCATTCTAGTGAACGACCATAGAGCAAGCTCATAGTTACGTCGCCCAATTCCTTCAGAGCCAAGAATGGCGAGAGGATCTGAGACCTCATTGCCACAGCGATCAGGGTGGCCACGTGTCCATACTAACTTCACTCTAATCACTGAAGAAGAAAGAGCAAGAAGGAGACTCCGCGCCTTCCCGGCAGTGTCAGAAACCTTGGAAGAAAATGTCACAGAGAGTATCGCAGCCTTGCTATCAACGTGAATAAGAAAGCTGGGGATCAGCGAAAGATCACTCGGCAAGCAGGTCTTGATCCAAAGAAGGGCAAAAGTAAATGCCACAAATCTCATCTTGACAGATATTACACCAAGAGGGCAAAGACCTAAAGAACAAGAGAGGAGCATGATATCTCGCAATTACCATACAGCCGAACCCGTTGTGTGGGTGACGAAAGCCTTTTCTTGAACCATCAGTGAAGATGTTCACCTCATTCAAGAATAAGAGGCGAGCAGTGGCAAACCACTCCAACTCAGACTTATTATCGGATACTGAGGAAATTGGTCCCCAAATACGCGATCCACGGAAACCTCTCCACCACGGGCAGCATCTTCAAGGAGACCCTGTTCAACAAGCCACGAATCAGACCCATCATCAAGACCTTCACCACGATTGATGCCACTACCAATCGGGCTACCACATGTGACCAGGCCATCACGGCCCAAGCAATACTACACGCTTATCCCTTGGCGGGACAGTACTTATACATGGGGGCGGGACGCCACTGCTGGCAGATATCGGAGGGGGCGAGTCGCAATCCCGCCGACATCCTTCGCAATCTGCGAGAGGAAGTTGAAACGACCATTAAAAACAAGTTCAAATACCTTGAGCCACATGGCATCCCGGTAATCGGGCATGTTGACGATGCTGGCAGCATCATGCTGCAGTGGCTGCCCTTCGAATGAACTTCGCCAGCAGGCTCGTGCTGCATGAGTCATGCATGAGTCATGCAACAGGACTCAGTCGTGTGGTGACCTCAAGTCATAACATAGAACCTTGCCCATCAGCTCATTGTGAGTTCATCCAATACAGCCGTATATGATCCTTGCCATGGATCCTCGCCGGAGAGCTAGATGCCACCATCATACATACGGGCCTCCTCAACACGACAATCTTCCTGAGCACCTCATTGGTGTCTGTGAAACAAGGATATCCCGTGACGCTCATAGTGCGTACTACGGGTTTGAGATAGGGGGAATAACCGTAAGTGTCAATCATAGTGTGGGTCCGTTCATACAGCCTTTGTTGCTCATATGCCCATTCTCTGAACCAGTCTCGTAAGCATACTTGTCCTTTCCATCCTCGTGAGGAAATACGCCGGATACCGTATATATTTTGGTCCCCCTAGAATAGATAGCCTTTCCCTGTGGTGCCTCTTGCAGTGAAGAATCCGGTGCACCGTGTCATCAGGAACCCCACCACATAAGTGGCAGACGCTGGAATGGCCTGATGATGATCTGACCAACAGCCGTCCACAACGTAGTAGCCCGAAGACAGCCCTAAGCAAGGTCCGACTCATTTTAAACCGTATCGCCTTTTTCAAGATGTCGAAATGACGTCGACATGTGATAAAACTCCTTATAGTAACATTTTTGATCCCTTTCCAGCCACAGTCCTTCACCTTGATAAGTAGTCCTCGCTTAGTGGCGTTTCTCACTGAGCTCAAAGGAGCCTCAACTGTAACCATATGACCATGATATGCCCCATGCCGTGCCGCTAGATCAGCCCGTATATTCCCATAGCACGTGCTGTGTCCTCTCAGAGAGAGGCTCTCACCCATATATGAGACCAAGATTTTTTGATAAAATCTCTCTTCTTATATCCACCAGTAGACTGCTTCGCCGGGCACCAGCAACAGCTTGTATGACCGACCTAGAGTCGATCGCCAGCAGATATCGCTTGTCCATCCGAGCAGGCACGGACCTAGCCGCCATTAATATAGCGACCTCCTCAACTTGGTCAATGCTGCAGTAGTCCGGTAGTTTGTAAGACGACCAAGTGATGCCCGCATCCGATGAGTAGAAACCAGCTCCAACATGTGCACAACTGCCATCACCGTATGGCCTCCTGCTGCCATCAGTGAAAATGCCATCAGATTGCTCAAAACCTGTCGAACCTGGCCGTAGATAACAGCTGCTTACCTCCGTGCCGTCACCTATCTAAAACTGCTTTGGTTGTAGGCCAATTTCAAACCGATCATGCTTCCAGGATTCTGCTTGTTCAGGATAGCGACCCCGAACTACCTTAGACCACCATTTTCGGATATCATAACCATCTTGTAGTTTCCAGGAGCCATATCTCATACATAACCGTTGATAAAGGGTCAGCTTGGCATCGCTCAATAGTGCAACTAGATCCGGGTTACCGGAGACCGGGACCCCGATGAGGATCTTCCCTAAGCGGTTATGCAAAGAGTCTATACGACGCTTCACACCTTTTAACATTAATCTATCACCCCAACACTCAATCCCATAACCGAGAGTTGCCGCTACGTGGGCACGAATCACTTCTCGCGCCTTGGGGGTGATCCTCACAACACCTTCTGGGCCAATCAATCTGCGACAGGCTTCTGCTCCAACTCTGATGACTTCTTCTACATCATGTAGACTACATGTGGGGCCCATCTGCCACTCAAGTCAATACGCATCCCCAGAAAGGGGATAGACCTCTTAACCACAATGCCAAGACACTCATCCTGAAGGTCGTTTGATAAGATAGCACTCTTCTCCCTCGCCATAGCTAGGCCAAAGGTGGGGAGTTCACGCTCTAAGGCCTCAATATCCTTTGTGGCTTCTTCGAGCTTCTCTTGACTATCAACACCTATCAATATGATCATATCATCGGCATAAGAAATAGTCTTCACCAGCACATCCTGCGCAACCGCCCGACCAGGGATGTCCATGACCAGAGCATGGAACAGCCTGTAGATAACTGGTGATAGCACTCCTCCCTGAGGGGTGCCACCCTTCGTCATACACATACGTATCCGGTCTTTGAAGTGACAACGTCGTCCATGAAGATAGCTGCCAACCAAATTTGCCAGAGCAGAAGGTCCCGTGATCAACTTGACCGATTCACACATAGAAGTATGAAGGGCACCATTAAAGGCTCCTTTCATATCCACACTGAGCGCTGCCGCATACTTCCATTGTGATTGTATGCCCCGTATGTGAAACGACACGCCCTCGACTGCAGTTGCTGTACTCCATTGGTTGCCACAGTCTCAGATATATTAGCCTGAGCTATATTACAGCGGCCAGGAAGCCGAAATCTCCCATGGCCAATTACCGGAGCATAGTACCCTGCACCTACGACGTCCTCGGGGAACTCATCTCTGGTGGATACCCGGCTACGGTCCACGAAATTCGCGGACGCATTGTATTCGCGGCGCGAATACAAAAGCTTCCAAATCAGGAGGAATAGACCCATCATCATTAATTCCATCACCATCTTTTATATAGACCAAATTTTCAGAGATAGCAGTCCCAGCAGAGAACTGTCTGCGTTACGCAAGTCGAGACCAACTACTTTATTCCACCACCTAGCACCCGGGGGTTACCCTTTGCACCA